TTGAGCTTTTTGGTCTCCCCATTCTAGTAAAAACCTAATTTGCCAAGTTAAGTCACAATACTTCACTTATGAAGGTGTAAAGGAAGCACATGTTTCTTTTCATAAGCAAATGCAATGATAGTACATAGTGTGTGTACGAATACATAGATCAATGAGCATGAAGTGTGATTCCCATGGAATGTATCAAGTTCTTTTTTAGTCCAGTCCCTAACTTCTTATGGATGCTTTCTATTTGGGATTCATTCATGTAGTCTTGACTATAAGAACTAAGTGATACACTCTCTCAATTCCATTTACTATAGACACTGACCACCTACTGTGTGCCAGCTGCTGGGTTAAACAATGGATATTCCCATGAACAGTTGAAAAATAAGCTTATTATCATAATGAAACATGTAATTTTGCTAGATTAAGAACATCTCATTTTCATTCCAAGTTCTAGAATGTAAAGTTTAGAGTTTCAGGTGATTTTAAAATGGCCTACAGTCTGATCCATTCATTAGATAGATGATGAAATGGAGAGTACAAAAGTTAAGGAAAGGTGTTCCCGAGAGACTACTCTTAAGTAGCAATGGTGTCTGCCCACTATTCCTGCCATTTATTGCTTTAAAGCTTTTTTTTTTTTATCTTGTCCCTCTACCCTCCACTCTAAGTTCTTTTATTGTTATCTTCTATCTGCTTAAGATTTCTGGCTATATGTGGTCTGATTTTATATTAAAATCACTCTTCTGATTTAATGTAATTTCTTTACTATTTTGCCTCTTTCCTTTGTCTGATAACATACCTGGCAGATCTGTCTGTCCTGAGAGTTTGATAGACATCCTAAGGTGCCATAGACCTTTTGAAGACCTGGGAAAGAAGAACAGGCCGAAGTGATCCATCTCAATCTTCTAAACAAAAGTACTGACCCCTTAGCTCCTTCAAGCTACTTGGGCTTGTCCCAGTCCAAGGCAGAGTGGCAGACACAGCTGCTGCTTTTCAGACATCTTGAGACTGGAAAACATCCTTTGCAGGGAAAATTGAGGGCATGGAATTGCTTGCCATGGTACCTATCATTCTGTTAAGGACAGTGAAAACACAGTCTGTCATCCTTGACATTTTAATTGAAAGAAAAGCTTACATAGATTTCAGCCATAAGCAGTATGTTTATACAAGTGTATAAAGAGGAATAATCTGTCAAGTTGGAAAACTCTTAATGCTACAGGACTCAGTTTAGTAATTGAACAATCCAACATGAGCTCACACATTTTACCTTGTTCCATGCCTCAATAATTTTTAGTAGAAATACTTTACCTAGAGGCATATGGTTATTAAAAAGGAGGCTCGGCTTGCTCAAAGTCTGGAATTATTAGCTCATGGCAACAAGCCTGCACTGGCGAAAGACTATTGGGTCTTTGTTTTCATGACTTTACTACAATTTGCCATCTTATTTTCAGAGCCTAACTGATGTGTTGTTTGGGAAGTTTGTTTTTGTTTGTTTTTTTAAAGAAAGAAAACATAATTTCACAGGGGTGAGTGACTTCTCATGTAAACAATAATGCAGAATTTTCCTGCCTCATGGAAAGTTCAGAGAGCAATGTGAATAGCAAGAGAAAATGGATGATGATTTTGTTTTAGTATAGAAAATCTATAATTTCATTAGGGGAGCCATCAAGATGTGGTAGTAGAAGTCCTTTGTGTTGCCAGTTGAGTCCAGGCCCTGCTTCTTTTCAATACCCAAGTGACTTTGGACAAATTAAAGTGTTTCTGCATTCATCTTAATCCTGAATAAAGTGAGAGTAGAATGGCACACCTATCTTTTTTCATTATTTCATGTTCCACAAACCAGAAAAATACTTTGAAACTAGAAACTGTGCAAGTCCATTAAAAAAAGTTCTATACAAATGCAATGAATTAAATAATAATTATTTTTATATACACAAAGGAATTAGACCATTAATGCATTCATTCTGATACCCACCATTGCTTCTGTGATCTGAATGCTCTGACAAACAGTTGTTTTCTTGGGCCAAGTGACATAAGCACCTGTCTAGCCCTTGTGTCCCTGGTGATGGGTAAGCACATATTTTTTTTTTTCTTTTAAGCTATGTTGTTTTAGAAGCACAAGCATGAAGTTTAGAGAACTTCATCTTTAACTAGTTTTGCAGATGGGGTTGGGTTAATTATTTACAGAATTTGTATAAAACAATAATTCCAGTTTTTTCAAAATTCGAAGATAAAGGACCTTAAATAACCATTTTTCTCCCTCAGCTTACATTGCTAATTGTTCTGATTGGTATCATTAGGTAATTATTTTTATAATCCCAAGAGAATCCTTTACCCTAAAAGACTTTCTTAATTAATGAGGGAACATTTGATATTTTAAAATCTGGTAGCTCATTCCATGATGTGGAAATAACTAAACTATTAGGAACATTGTATTAAATGAAACAAACCATTCCCCAATTATTCTATGCAACTGGGAGCTCTTCCTGGTTTGGGGAAGAATGAAAACTTATTTTAAATTAAATTAAATTTAATTACTTTTGCGTCTCTATTCACATCATCATTAAATTGTTTGATTTCTTTTTTAAAAAGAACCCCTTATTAAAAATGAGTAAACAAGATTAATATCTCATGTTGGAACAAATAATAGTATCATGCTGTCTTTTGCTCCTGGGGATGATACTGCAAATCAACACAGTAAAAAGTAACATTTTCAGTTATTTTATATTTCTGCTTGTTGCTGTCTGTAATAGATGGGCTTCCCCTGAGATTAGGTGGGCAGACATACTGTTGAAGGCTCTATGTGTGTGTGTGCATGCACAAGTGTGAGTGCATGTGCATATGGATATGTATGTGTGTACATCTGTCTGGGTAGATAATAGATGACTGAATGGATGGACGAGTGGAGGATTAGCTGGCTGTGAGATGCTCTTAGTGAATCTTCCCCTTTAGGCAACTAAAGAGTTCAGACTATTGATCTTGTACTTAGAGGCACTGACCATTATTAAACATGAAATTCTTTGATATACAGCTATTTTCTTTTCATTAAAAGTTCTAAATAAAATATTAAGGCTGCAGAATATGAATCAGATGTTATCTGTGAAATGAGTTCATGTTTTATGCGACTCTGACAGTAACTATCCACCTCTAAATAAGATTTTAAAAAGCAGTGAAATGACAATCTGCTACAGAATTTTGGAACAATTTAGACCAGCAGTTTACTAAAAAGGTAAAAGCTACTAATCTTTATTGTTACCCCATACTCCAGAGTTTCCAGGTGTTCATATCAAGAAATACCCATCAAACTCAATTTCCTAAAGACATTTATTTCATCATTACAGGCAACATACATCTACATAACGGCTGTGGAATATATCCTATTAATAAAACTATAATTTGTTTGCCTCTATATAAACTTGATGTAAAGATTTTATACTCTTTTATGTTTTCATATATACAAACTTATAGCCAAGTAAATATTAACAGATGTATGACTAATCATTCCATATGTGTGACTGTAACAGATATGATATAATTAGTATATAATATATTCCACATATAATTTTATATCTACACACATATACGTACATGTGTGTGTAGGTGTGTGTATACACACACACAAACGCACATGCATGTATATTCCAGAGGACTTTTCAGGCACAAAAAAGGGAAGACCTATTCTTCTGTGGAATTAGAACAGCATAGAACAGCAGTGCAAAGGAGGAACACTTTGGCATCCTTTTCCCCATTTCAATCCCCCATGTTTCCATGAGTCACCCATCAAAGGCAATGAACACTAAAAAAAGGGCTCCTCTTGCTGCTCTGATGAGGTTCTGGACTAGAATGTCCTTTCAGGAAGCTCCCTGAAGTCATGGCTTTCAGAAATGTCTCTGTCTACACTAAAACCCATCAGTTAGCATGAAGACATTTTTTCCCCCTCTAAAGAAAATGCATTAGTTTTGGAAGCACTGGTTTTTCTCTTGTCATCCAAGATCAGGTTGTTTAACATCGAAGATTCAAAGGTCCTGAGGGAGTTTTATTTATTTGTTTGTTTTGTTTTGTTTGTTGTTAAGTCTTTAATTTAATGGTTTGATATTTATATAGCTCCCCCAAGGCAAAAGCATCAGGAGATTGAGAATTTAGCTGAAGAGGTCACTTGTTTGCTATTTTTAATAAACACAAGTAATTCCCTTTTCCCCTCAGCCCCACATTCCCTAGCTCATTAAATCAATTTAAGGCCCTTAAAAAAATTTTCTGGCAAATTGAAGCAAAAGCTCAAACTATGTACTCCCTGGAGGAATGCTTACCCAATTCCTACAGGTCAGGCCAAGATCAGTTTCTGTCAAACAGCCTAACACCTCGAGTTATTATGAAATAAGAGATTGGTGACTGGGGGCGGGGCCCTGGGCTCTGGACTTGCCCAAAGGCTGTAGTGCCTTGAACCATGATCCAGCTGCTTTGTTTTTTTTTTCCACTCACAAGTGAAGAACTATGAAAAAGTCAGGATGGATTTCTATTGGGAATTCATGAATGAAGTTGGCTGTACAAACCCAGATAGTGAAAGTGTATCAGAACAAAACCAGGAGGGCTTCCAGGTAGAGGTGTGACAGAATGTGGAAAAAACAAATGTGCACAGATCTCAACCTCTAAGACTTGCTAGAGAGCAGTGGCTTTTGAGTAAACAGAATTCTACTATCAAGTTCCTTTCTTAAAATTCAGGGCTTGGGGGAGATTTACCAGCTTATTGTCTACTGAACATCAGTTAGGTAACAGTGGTCAGGAAATGAAGTGGAATTTAATGTATTAACTAGGAAGCAGCAAAGGAAGCCAGCTTGTGTTTTATTTGTTATTATTTCCCTAATATCCTCAATTACATGGTTCCCATCAGTGGATCTGATCTGCTGCTCTCGTAATGGTGGTGTCCCTGCCGGTTCTGGACACAGGGAAATAGGCAATGAATTCCTTCCCAGGGCATCAGGAATAATGTTTGCTTTATTTTTTCTTCTTCATCCCAGGCCTGTTCCAGGCTCTCTATCTTCTCTGCTACATCTCCACAACAGACAGAGACAGCCCATGCCAGCCTCCATGCCCGGGACCCTGCCTAACCCCACGATGCCAGGATCCTCTGCTGTCTTGATGCCAGTAAGTGCTTGTCCCTTCCACGAAGGCTTGGTCCTTTTGAAAGAAGAAGGGGAAAGGCTGAGATCTAAGCTGACTGGGAAAAATGTGGTATCTTCTGGAGAGTGGAGCTGTCTACTCATTTATGTAGAGGCCCAGCTGTCTGACCCTAGCCATCTCTCTGGCTCTTTCACCCTTCAGTGCATGGTCTCATGTGGTCACTGCTGGCTTACAGTGAGCTTGCCACACTCAGGGGCAGGAATTTGCAAAGGGACACAGTGTATCATAACCATTCAAAGTCTGTAGCTTGGGCTATATGGCAAAGTGTGTTTAAAATTGCGGGGGAGTCGTATGGCCAGGACTTAGTAATTTTTATAATAATGGCGATGATGATGGCACATACTAGCTACTGTCTTGTATTTGTGCCTGCATATCTTGTTTTATAAGTCATTCTTGCAACGTTTATTTAGTGCTTTCTGTAAGCCAGTCACTCTCTAAACACATCGTATGAAACAATCCTATGAGGTAGACACCATTACCAGCCCCATGTTTTGAGGGAGGAAAGTAAAGAAAGATACTCCCTGAGTTGAGATACGGAGCAGCTGAGCTTTGAACCCAGGAACTCTGGCTCTCAGGCTACTCTTTCAGTCATAGTATGGTGTATTCTTTCTTTTCCTGATAAACCTATGAATCCTATGTTATGACCCCATTTTATAGACATGAGACTGAGGCACAAGAATGCTGAGCAACTTGGCTGAAGTCACCTTTTAGATGATAGAGTTAAGGTCAAAATCTAGGTGGCTGACTCCCAGATCAACATTCATAATCACTGGATTATTCTGCCCTCACTGTGACCCCCTGAAACCTACAGAATAACAAAGAAGGGGTATACAGACTACCCCTCAGCAAACCTCTTCTCCTGCATGGAATTCCCCCCCTCCCACTTCCTCTTCCTTTCCCTTGTGTTTTGGTTAATATGGGAGTTCTCCCAGGCCCCAGAGGCAATATGACAATTCAGTTAAAACTCACCCACAGCAGTATCTTTGCAGAACATTTTAGCATGCTAAGGAATTGTCTGCAGTTAGGATTTCATTTGGTTCTCACAGAAGCCCTGTGGGATCTGATAGCAATAATGACAATAAACTCATTTTATATAGGAAAAGCTGAAGAGTAAGCAGTTGAAGGCAGTTGTCTAATGTCACCCGGCTGGTGAGTGAAGGTTTGTTACTAGAGCCTACAGCTCAACTTATACCAAGCAGTTCAAATCACCTCAGGATGAGCAATTTGCTCATTTATTTAAGTGGAGTCAGGGGATAAGGAAGGGCTCCAAGGCCCTATTCCTAGAAATGGACCTGTCTGCTGCAAATCCCAGGTATCCTCATGAGAAATGGTCTTTTCAGAATTAGGCTAGAGGACAGATGATCTGACAGAGTTTACCTGCATTGCTCTTCTTAAAAATCTTCAATGGAAGGGAAATCTCACCAGTAGTGCCATTACCAACACTACTTACTGCATGGAGTGTTCTACCACAAGCTATCTCCATTGAGATCCCTATATCCCTCTTGTCAAAATTTCAAGAACTCCATGTTAGTGATCTTATTTTTTTTCATTCAACTAAATGGTATATCATTCCCAGGGGCAAAAGTTGAACCGTTGGACTGCCATATTATCTCACTTTACCATGGAAGGAAAGAATAAGGTCAATGGTCAAGGGTCAGTGCAGACAAAAAGTCAGGGATACCACCCCCTCTCAGGAGGCCCCAAACTCTGTTCAGTAGTATGCACTGATAGCATGACAAGATGCTGCCCAGATTGGTGATTGTTAAGCAGGGGTGATTTGTTTTCTTGGGAAACATGTGGCTATACCTAGCGACATTATTGGTTTTGCAACTTTGGAAGAAAAGTACAATTGGCACCACATGGGTAAAAGCCAGGGGTGCTGTTAAATATCATACTATGTGCAGGACAACCTCCTCAGCAAAGGATTATTTGGCCCTAAATATCTGTCATACCGAGGTTGAAAAATCCTGGTCTAAATTAAACTAACATAATGAATGAAAATTAGTACAGTCCAAAAATCTTGTCCTAAGAGTTCTACCTCCTAGGCATCTGCAGCTTTTCCTCATTATGAAGTCACCAGCTCCTGTGTTTTAACATTGGCATTTCCACCATGTTCTTCTCCTACCATTTCTGCCCTGGAAAACCATGCTTCCTTGGTTTAAAGATAAAACTATACCTTGTGGGTACAGTTGAGATTTTGAACTGATTGGTAGTGCATGCTTCCAGGCCATTTTTCAGATCCCTTAGTCTGGAACAAAATGATATGTTTTTCTATTCATTCATTTGTTCATTTCACAGACTTCTGTTGAGTATGTTTTATGGCCCAAGTACTTTCCTTGGGTTGTGTAAAGTACAAGGCAGGTGTGAACCTTCAAGGAGTTCACCTGGTGACAGTTTCCTGTCTTGAGAATCACTTGCATACATAATCTGGGAATATGAACACCCACTTAAAAATTCCAATGAACTGCAGATATTTTAGCTCCTATTTTGCAATTTGCTTTAAGGGTGAAGAACACTCTCCAAAAAAAAGGTGAACTTCTTTATTGGGGTGGTTTACCTCCCGGGCTTGATCTTCATTAAAGCCACTATTTGCTGACCTCTTTATTCCAGTAACTCATCAAAGCCATGTGCAGGACATACAGTATTATTCACACAAAGCATTGCATAGCAACTTGGAAATGGCTCTTGCTGATCCACTGTAAGCATGAAGATGGAAAAGGGCAATTTTTTTTTTATATATAGATCAGTTGGTTTTTGGATTTTGTTTAATTTGTGAATCACAGGATATAAATAGTCATAAAATTTGTTATTAAAAACAAGAAACATGGACTCTGGATTGAGGCTGTGTTGAACATGCTTCTCCCTCCTTTTTTGAACTCATGACAACTAAAAGCTTGGATATCCTGGACAATTGTTTATGCTTCTGAATGATCCTCCTTTGGAAAACCAAAGACAAAAGGCCATTTGGATTTGATTTCTCTCTAGGAGAAGGTCCCCAGTTGAAAACGGTCAAATACGATTACAACTTTCTGTTCTTCTAGCCACTGGAAGTGGGGGGTAGAAGTAATAAGCATTTCTTAGTGCATCCTTTGGATTTAATAACTAGAATACACAAATGCACTTAATGGCATTGAACTGTGTACTTAAAAGTTATTAAAATGGTAATTTTTTTGTTAAATACATTGTTTATATTATGTTATATGTTATAATTATATATATTCTATGTTTATGTCTATTTTACCATAATTAAAAAATAATTAAACTAAAGCATCTGGATTGCCAGGAAATTTAAGATGTGAGTATTTTATTTTGCAGAATTGGTAAGGCCTCCAAAGGTTTTGCAGGTCTGCTTTTTTGAAGGTATAGTAAATGTTCCTGTATTAAATTGCTCCTTTGGAAGTAGTCTACACAGCAATGTCCTGCAGATAACAGACTGAGGTGCTTTGCTGTGACAGGAAGTGTAGATATGTCATTGCTGAGAGTGACTGTGAGCACCTCTGCTAATCCACACGATGATGCCTCTGTTGTTCCCCAGGCTGGGGGTGGACAGAGCAGGAACTGCAATTATAGAACCTCAACAAAGGAGGGACCAGAAGAGGTCATTTGTTCAACTCTCACTCTCCACTCTTGTCTGTGAGGTTTCCATCCATTCTTTGAAGAGCTCCATTGACAAGGAACTCTATTTTCACGACTGCCTAGGCTAACTTTGAACAAAACCTGGTTCTCTAAAATTTCCAACTATTGTTTTCATTTCCATCCTTTGGCAAATGGAAATAACATCTACGTTGAAGGATCTATTTCGTCCAGCCCCCACTCCCAGGAAAGTAATTTTTTTTCTGTGGGATATAATGCTAAGTATATTTGCTTTATTCTCGTTCTTTGAAACATGCTAATTTTCCACAAAACAGACAGTATTAACAGACACACCTTTCCCTGGTTGGAACAGAGGTTTTGCGGTATTTACATTTTCACAGGAACACCTGGAGGCAAAAATGCCAGAACTGCACTGAAGTATTAGGGTGATGTTAATTCTAAACACGACAACAGGACTATGTGGGAGATGTGGGCTACATGTCATCCCGCACCCTCAGCTGCTTTCTTCATCTTCCTAAAGGCTTGGCCCTGCTACGAGGCATAAAATTGCAGTTTCCAAACCTGTGCCGGGTCATTCTGATCATGTTTATGAGTTAGAATGACAAGAAAAGTCACCATATCAGAGAGCACTACATTTAATAAATTTAATTTTAGTTTTCTTGGTGTTAAAATGTTCATGTTTCTATATAAAGTTTAAAGAGACTAAAATGTCAGTTAATATAAGATCATGTTATCTATGAATAAAGGCAGTTTTATTTTTTCCTTTCCAAAAATAAATAAATAAAATGTCAGTTAAACATTTAATATGTTTATATACATATGCATATCACATGTGTGATATGTGAACTTTTTATGTATATATTATACTTCACAGCTATAAAAATAAGTGCAATTAATGGTAGTTGCTGTAAAGTTTGCAAAGGTAGGAATATCCTATACTTTTGTTTGAAAATAACCTAGGACTGCAACTTCTTTCTCGTTGGCTTGGGAGCATCTTCTATAGAAGGAACAGCTTTTAATGAGTCTTTGATGTGCTTGGCGTCAAGGCTCAGGAATATGTTGTTTGCCCATCCCTAGGCCACCGACTTTCTACAGTTATTCAAAGAAATGCCACTGATCCAGTGGACGAGCAAAGCAGCTCTATGACCTATGTTGCTTCTCTCAGACTTCTGATTCTGTTGCTTCCTATGCTTTTAGATGGAGAGACAAATGTCAGTGAACTCCAACCTCCTGGGAATGCAAGGTCCAAATCTCAGCAACCCCTGTGCTTCACCCCAAGTCCAGCCAATGCATTCAGAAGCCAAAATGGTAAGCAGTGGTTATAATCACCTTTTTTATTTCATGATTTTTTTTCTCTTGATTTATTGTGTCTCACTTCCAGATTTCAGTTAAGTGAGATAGATTGCTCGTCTCTGTTTCAGTGAATAGGTTGTTCTATTTAGGCAGTGAGTACCTGGCTTTGTCTTTGAGGATATGTTTCTTCAAATGTCAGGATTGGACAACCATGTAACATGGCTTAATAAATGGGACATCTCTTGTGGAAGTCCAGGGAAATCCATAGGCGTTGACATGTGATGTTACCCAAATATGTGTATATTTGCTCATAATATGAAGGTAACAAAAGTAACCCAGAGTTTCTCTACTTCCAAGAGGTGACATTTTCAGTGTCACTCTTCTTGTCTCCATTAAAACAGATGTGATTTTTAAGCACATGCTATTATGGAAATACTTTTGGTTTTGTTATGGTTGTCAAATGTAGCATTGATTTCATAGTATCAGGTCCTTGTTTTCTTGCAGGGCAGATGCAGCCCTTACTAAAATATTTGATTTCAGGTGACACCTTTCAGAGACTTTAAACATATGAGATTTCTGAACTGTAAGGTCAGTCTCCCCTATCATAGTGACAGATTCATGCATTTTGTATTCTACTAGCTATTAATAAAAACAGTTCATGTCCGTTTTGCAATCTAAAGTAAATTTGCTGCTTATATTTAGTGAAGTTACTTGAAACATATCCTGCAGTGATTTGTCTAGTTAAATTCTAACACCATAATTAGTAAGTTATCAGATAATAACAAAACACACTGCAGTGATTTTTCTAGTAACTGATACTGATCCAATGTCATATAGGATTACTTTTGTTAGAATTTTGAAATTTATTTGGTTTGCTGACAAACAGCGTTGGGAGCCCTGTCACTTGGTTGTTATAAGGATGTTATTGATGTTTCTGAAAATTAATCATCAAAACCCAGTGACTTCGTTTTCAATGGTAGCAAGTTTTTTGATGTCTGCTTTGGTTACTTTCTCTTGGAAACTTCACTCATTTGACTTGCAGCTTCTTGACCCAAGGAATCAACCAAACCCTCAGTGCTAGCTAACTTGGGCAAATAAAATTTGTGGTCAAGAGAGTTCTTCTTGCTGTGCCACAGTTCCTATGATGTGCCAAATGGCACGGGCATCTTCAGCAAAGCTTGTTAAATCTTTTTGGAATCGGCAAATATTTTTTCAACTCAAGCCCTACAGAGCCAAACCAAATACTTGTTGGCAGAATAAAGTTCAAACTGGCATCTGTTTTGGAGACCAAAGTCATGCCATTTACTTTTTTTTTTTTTCAAAGGAAAATAAAAAGTGAACTGTGAAGGTACTTAAGAAAAAAACAAAAATTATTCATGTGTGTGAATAAGTGTTCTGGGTCTGAGCATCAGATGTTACCCATTGCCCCAACTGGATTATTTATGAATCATCTTGTTTGGTTCAGGTTCTGTATCCTTTCTGAGGGACCTCCCATGCAAAACTGAGGTGGATTTGAAAACACAATCCCAAAGCAATTTTCTCTGCCAGTTAACTTGCATTGTATTTTATGCCACCATTTGACTCAGAAGTATCCCCTCTTCTTTCTTTCTGGCAAAGAAGAAAAATTTTTTCAAAGGGAGCACAGGTTTATAATTATATATATGAAATAAAAACATGATATGGCAAGTTAATAGTGAGTATCAGCTGGAGACAAAAGGCATTTGGCCTGTTATAAAAATAGTGTCGCCTCACAAATGTTTGTCAAGTTCAATTTACTGAGTGAGCACACTATGCTGCTGATTCATGTTCTAAGTGAATGAATATTTCCAGATCTGTGATGTTTGTCTGGGTTAATGAACTCAATCATGGAGCTGGGCTCAGGGAGCATAGTTATTCTCCATATCCCAGACTCCCCTCTTTCACCCCTCAGAACTCGGTTATTGCTGATACATTAATCTAAAGGGGAAAACTGTAGATTTGACCACTTTTATTTTGGAAGAATAGTCATTTGCTTAGTATCTTGGAAAAGTATTAAGTAAGTGACTTTTACTACATTACTTAGCACTTATTCTGATTCTGCTTGCTTTATTCACCAGAGAAACCATTTACTGTCATCTAGTAACTGCACAGTATTTTCTAGCAACTTTGGGTGGCTCAGATGAAAAGCTTTTATGAAATTCAAAGTAGTGAAGAAAAAAAATCTTCCATGATTTTAATGTCAGCCAGAGCTTCCCCAGGTTCCTCTGAACTATAGGCTTTGTTGTTCTATGCCTAATTTTCTTCCTGTGTGAGACTGGAATGGATTCCAGATTTCAACTAAGACTCTCATTTCACTGTTTTCAAGGACTTTTCCAAAGGTCACACATGGGCTATTGTGATGAATATAGTCGGTGGGTTGTGTTCTCTGAGCACACAGAAACCAGAGAGCTGTTAGGGAGGTGGTACTCACAATGTGGTACTGCAGACTATCCTCCCGGGAACAGCAGTGTCAGAGTGTCTATTTCACACTGTCTGCTAGCCACAGATAAAACCTTCATCCTCAATCTCTGGTGAAACCTGAAGGTCCCATTGGTGGACAGGCACTTAAGACAGGACCTCTTTATAGCTACAACTTTGTTAGAGGTTCCCTTACTGGTGATGGTTCTACAGAATGTGTCCATTTTCCTTGATTCAAATTGTGTCTGAGAAAAAAGTATGTGTCTCCAGTATGTGGCTTTCTGGGTCACCAAGAAACACACATGTTTCCTTTGGATTTAGTGTACATTAGTATCAAACAGTGTGCTTCTATGTACTGTAGCCACATCTGTCCAGGCTGGTTTATCATAATTCTGGCAGATTAGATTTTAGTTTTATGGATTCTTTTTCTGAAGATTTAAGACAACACTTACATAATTATGTAAGTGAGTACATGTATGTTGGGTCTCCTTTGGGGTCAGAGAGTATTCAGAACCCTGAGAGCCTCCCTCTTTTCTTGCCACACCAAACAATAGGTTCTTCCTCTGAGATACGTGGGGTCCCTGTGTATCTCCAATGAAAATGGGGTCTGCTGGAAATGAAAGTGACTGGATACTGGGTGAACATTTTCAGCATTCAAAGGAAAAAGGGAAGACAAGAAGGGGATAAGCAGAGAGAAGTGAAAGGGGGAGGAAGAAGCAAGGGAATAAGGGAGGTGAAGTGTAAACTGAACCAGAATACATCACTAGACTGCTGGGTCAACACAGTTCTATAATCATGTGGATCTGGTGTTCCCAGTGTGATGGATATTTGTGTTCATTTCTTCTTGTGAGAATTAAAACACATCTACCTAGCTTTAAAAGGCTCTCCCTTTTCTTTTGAGAAAGCAATTATAAGGTTGGGCACTAAATAAGAGGTGGGAGCAATTTGTCTTTATGCCGTTATTATTTCTCACTAGTGATGAGGTGACTCCTACCATATTGAAACTGACCAAACTGAAGGATGGCATATAAACAACTGGCCAGAAGAATATTCTGGCCACTCTGCTGAGATTTTAGCCTAAGTTTGAAGCTGGTTAATGAAGCCTAGAAAGTATTGATACAAGGGAGAAAGTGTATATGTCTGTGGTATAGCCTGATTTCATCCTTGGATAGACCATTTTAGGGCTGTTGTTTGCACTTTAAACCTAAGGCAACTAAGTTACCAAGAGATCAAAAAAACATTGAAACTGACTCATCAATCTGCAAAGGCTAATGTTTTAGACTCTAACAGCAAAGTTTTTTCATCACATCTTGTTCCTTCAGTAAAAAATGTCATATCAGATAGCTTCCAGATATTGGTAACCATTGGATTACATCAAATTTTCTGAGATTAATCTTATTTACATACAAATGGTGAGAAGAATGGCAAGGATAATTTAAACTTCCAGTCAACCTGGAAAAGATATAGAGTATTGCAAAATATTGAACTATTCCTTCATCTGATTGGCTTAACCAGACTTTTGTGGCCTCACTGACTAATCCAACTTCACTACCTCTTGATCCAAACCTGTCACTATCTTGCCATTTACTGTTTTACTTGTCCCTCTCTGCTTGATTGATTAGAAGTTCCTGGGAGATAAACCTTGTACCATGAAGGTCCCTGTGCTGAGAAAAAGTCTATGAATGAGAACTGAATTGAATTTTGTTTAAATTATGGAAATTGCATCTTCGTCTTGAAAATGCAGTGTGGAGGGGTCAAGAGTGGGGTGAGAGGAGAGGGCAAAACTAGATATTAAGTAATCAGCTTGGACAGTAGCTGACCATACTTGATTTCTTTAAAAGCTATCTGGGGCCCTCCCTGGTGGCACAGTGGGTTAAAGCATTGCACTAAGAAGCTAAAACCACTTCCGCATGAGTTCGATTCCTGCCTGCCCTGGAGGTGACCACATGGCGTGGCAGACCTCTCCTGACCCGCCCGCTCCCCTCAGCAGTGTACTTCGTCGATCTGCCTGTTCTGCTCCCCACTCTGTCTCTGGTGAAGTCTTTCGCCACCCCCTGAGTCTCTAGCCTGTACCCCAGTTCTGTATGCACAAAAGATAAATCTTAAAAAAAAAAAGCTATCTGGAAATGATCCTGCCATACATTTTTCCTTGAGGAAAAGCATTATGTCTGTTCCTTAGAAAACCAAAATTGGATGATTATTGGTTACCTACAAATTGAGAGAGATCAGTACTAGATGCTGTTTCTTCCACTATGGTGAACTGGTCATGCTGTATTCTGCTTATGGGCTAGCTGTGTCATCTACAGACAGGTTTGCAGTTTATTGACTAGATCATAAATATATGCTTTAATGAGTGAATGATAAAACAAACAAGCTGGAGAGTTAAGACCTGGGAGGTGGACAGCTTGCCAGATTTCTTATTTCATGAGGGAGGACACAAAGCCCAGTCAAGACTGAGAAAGATCAAACCATCACTTAGACGTAAAGGTTGGCCCCACACTAAGGCCATCTGTGGTGCTGATAAATTACTAGCAGCGCTTCTTTTCTTGGCTCATAGCTTCCTCCTGGCAGATTGGCAG